CTCTCAAGGTTGACCTAGAAAAACCATTAAGGTAAATTATTTTAATCAATTAGAAATTAAAATTTTATTTGTAAATTTAATAGTTTTCTTTTTGCTCTTTTTGGATCAGTAGTGGTACTATATAAATCTTGATAAGTTCTTGATTGAAATGTGTAATCCTATCATGAAAACATTTAAATGAATCTTATACTTTTTTCTTCAAAATTCCCATTGAGCAACTAAATATCAAGTCACAAAAATGTACATTTCAACTATGTGCTAAAAAAATAATTTAGTCTTTATTTATATAGTCAACCTGATCAGATTAATGGGGTGATTGCATGGTTAATGGGTCCACCATGTAACGTTAAATTTGAGGGTCATTACAATTAGGGAAATTTACTTTTCTGGGCTAGGAATGCATAATTAAGGATCAAACAAACTAAATCGAGTCAAATTTTAAAGTGGTTTGATTTGGTTCATGACTCAGTTTGATTTGATTTGAACCAAACTAGGTTTCTAAATTTCTTTTAATGTCAGGTTTATATTTGAATAAGATTTATTCAAATGATTTATTCTAATCATTATGAATTTAGTATTCGAATTACATTTGAATAAAATGGATGAAATGTGTAAAAAAATAAAAATGAACAAAACAAATAATGAATAAAACGAAATAAAACGAATATATGAATAAAACAAATAAAATGAGTAAAACAAATAAAATGAATAATTCAAATTGAAATATATAATTTTACTTTTAACGAAATAAATACTTTTATGATAAAAAAATTTTTTAACGATTCAAATGGTCTTTGATACCTAAACCAGACTGTATTCTATTCAGTTTGGACCGAACCATCAACATCCCTAAATTTGGGAAAATCTTCATTACAAAAGAAAAAGAAACGAATCACGTTTCTTCATCTTAAAGTTTGTCGTTTTTCTTTTTTGACTGTATCATACATATTAAAAATATGCAAAAATAGAAATAAAGTTCTTTTTGCCAATGATTAGCTTTTTTCTGCTAATAGAGTAGGGTGTTTTGAATATCATTTATTAAATAAGAAAGGTTGTGGCGGGACCACAGGAACAGAACAGCCCTACTGACAAATTTAGAACCATTTCCTTATTGAATTTTTCATTTTCTTCCCGCGTTTTGAAAAAAAAAAGATTCTGCTAAAAATGAATAAATATCAACATCAATATCGGCATCATTATCAACAACAAAAACAAATTGTTTATCCAGGTTTCCCTAATACTGACGAATACCAACACACATAATCAAACTCAAAATGGCGGTTTTAGACGTGTATAACTTTTATCAAGTAAGTCAGCACCAGAAATAGAATTTATGCAGGGAGATGTGTGGGGTTTGAAATTTAAATTCACACGCGTGAAATTCAACTATTTTTTCATAATTTTAATTTTTTTTTGAAAAAAATGGTTGATTTAATGAATTGCTGTTTAAACTCATTAAAATTATTATTAATAATTTTCAATTTATTTTTATCAGATAATTTCACATATTTGGTATTTGGTCAATTATTAGATATACAATCTCACTGTTCAATTATATTTAATGATAAACTCTATTTGGTTGGAGGACAGTCTTTTAAGTCTGATTTACACTTGATTAGACATTACCAATAAAACAAATTTTTCCAAAATCTGACATACCTTCATTTGTTGGTGGAGCACTGGTATTAGGAGGAGCTAATAATGACACATTTTATGTTATAGGTGGACATAGAACTTCACAACCTGGTATAGTTTATTCAATAAACACAAATTCATTTGATACATGGACCCCAGAAAATCTTGATGGGCAATCACAGTTAAATAAAATTGCATTAACAATGTATACACAAGATAATTATGGAAACATATATTTAATGAATGACAATGATCCAAAGATATATAAATTCAACACCAAAAATTTGGTATTTACAACCTTAATGCCAAGTAATAGTGGTCCACCCTTAACAGGCTTAAATTATCACAATCTTTGTGCTTTGAAAGATGAAATTCTAATTTCTTTTGGAGATGATATAACTATTGTAATATTATATAATTATTAATTATTATCTTATTATTTTTATTATTTTCTAATTATAAAGATTTAAATATATATATTTAGATATACATATATGATATTAATCAAAATTCCTGGTCTAAAAATGTAAGTCATTGATAATAATAAATATTTTAAAAAGATATTAATAAATATTCTATTATATTAGACAACAGTTGGTGATAAGCCTTCTGTGCGTAAGGGTCATTCTTCAGTGTTAGGTAAAAATCAATTATACATACATATATATATACTTAGCACCTGATGGAAGGATAATTGTGTATGGTGGTACTTTACAATCAGACAAAATAGCAATATTAGATACAACAACATTCCCTTTTCGATGGACAGTTCCAACAAATATTACTTATCCTACTAATATTCAAATTAATAAATCACATAAAGGACATTCTGCAAATTTGTATGATAATTATATGATAATTTCATTTAGTAACTTATAATAACTAATTTTTAAAATTTACATAAATATATTATTAATATCATTTATATTAATTAATAGGCTGGCTTGTTGCCAATGAAATTTTTTATTATTGGATATTGGTGACAAATATAATTATAGATGGTTGAATGCATTTGATTCTGCTAATCAACAAACTTCAGTTACCACCAGCACTGCTAATCAACAAACTTCAGTTGCCACCACCACTGCTAGTAATCAACCAGACTCATCAAAAGTTGCAATTATTATTGGAGCTGTTTTAGGTGGTGTTGTTGGTGTATCTATTAACATTGCTGTTGTGTTTTTATATGGATATATAAAAAAATCTAGAATGAATGAATTGATCAATAATAATATTGTTGATAATGATCGTGGTAATATTTATATTATTCCAAATAATAATAATTATATCAATAGTGATAGTAATACTGCAAGTGTGTAATTTCTTATTACAAACTTAAAAAGTGTCTAATTAAATATCTGATATAATAAATATACAGTCCAATAATTATACAATCTCCTTAGCTTTTAGCTCAATGGTTCCAATCCCTAATAGACAGTTTCTTTAATACTGGTGGCACACAGCCTAAATCACTATTTAACCATACAAGTCCTTGACTTATTGCCAGCATGCAGCCTAAATAATACTTAATGATACTGTGAGATCGAAATCCCCATCTCACACAAATCTCTATGTTTACTTATAGTAGTGTTTTATTTAATTTATACATCTATATCAGATGAATCTTGTTCATTAGTATTGGTGTTTGCATCGGTGATAAGATCATCTGTGTATCTAGATTAAGTGGAACATTTGATACAGCATGTGCAACATTAAGTGTAACATTTAATGTAATGTTATGGAAGGGATTTTGAGTTGTGGAGGTTGGTGAGATAGCTTGGGAAGAGATTGTATTGTCAGAAGAGATGGATTTTGTATCCATCATTTCCATAAATGTATTAATAGTGAGTTTAGGAGTTGAATAGGGACAAAAATTAGTTGGTTTATTGAATGAACAATTCAAATTACAGGTAAAAGATTTGCCTAAAACAATGATTAGTATTAATGAGTTCATTTGTTAATGTATAAACAAATGTTTGATTGCAGTTAATACAGGTAATCAAGTAGTAGTCTTCTTGTGGGCAGACTGAACCAGAAGGAGAAGAGGATCTGTCGATATTCTTTTTTGCTGGAGCAGACTTTGTCCAGTTTTGGCTTGGCTTTATTACGATTTCTTTTATTTATCATCTTAACTAAGATTATTAACCATTGTATAAAAGAAAAAAAATATGTTTTTTGATTTAAATGATCAGCAGAAAGAGTTTTAATTTTTTGTCGCACTAATTAATTCATTATTTTATTTTTTCCAAGTTCCTTTAGTTAATTAATTACTTCCCTTCCTTTTATCGTCATTATCATCATTAATCCCTCATCACCATTTCTTCACGTTATGAAAACAAATTCCAATTAATATAATAATTATCTAAACATAAAACTTGACTCTTTTTTTCCTCATCAAAAGACAAAATAAAAGATTAAATGTCCACAAATCCTTTCGAAACAATAAAATTGTTATTATTAGTAATACTGATTTTAACAATAAAACCGTCACCATCAACACAACTGTCGCCATCTCCATTATCATCATCAATTCCAATCTACAACAATCTTGAAGCTGAGGATGATAAAATACCAAGACCTTTCGACACCACATTAACAACGAACTTGACATCATCGTGCGCGCAATTTTTTCAATCATTTTTAGCAAATCAGGATTTTAATGATTGTAATTCATTTGGTTTTCTACTACAAAACTCTCGTGAGTTTGCAGTGAAATCACGTAATGATTCAACAATTGGTAACTTGATGGAAAAAATATGCAACATTGATATTAATAATAAATCTATTGATCAGTGTAATCAAATATATTTAAACTATGCCGACAACGTAACTTTGAGTTCTAATTGCGGAGTTGATTTCCAAAATGCAAACCAGGTTGTAAAGGAAGCTTTTACGGCATTCAAAAATTATCGAGTTATGCAAATTGTTGGATGTTCCAAAAATTCTACAGATATTTATTGTTATCGAGATGCTTTGATTAATGGATTAGGATTAGGATTATTCTATTTACCTCTTGGTAATCATCAAATTAATTAACCGGATTGTATTTATGTGAATTTGATTATTCTTTTAATTATTCTTCTTTATTCTTTTTTAATAGGGACTCCTTTTTACTCAAAAGATTATAGTTGTTCGGAATGTAACAAAAAGATAATGAATACATATGGTGATTTTTCTTTGGATAAAACAACATCATTATCAATAACATTTAATTCTGCAAAATCATTTTTTAATGATAAATGCGGAAAAGATTTTATCACCAGTAATGGTAATATTAATATTAGTAATAATCCTTTTAATAACAATAGTATTTATTTATGGTTGCTATGTTTAATGACTTTTTATTATATCTTGATTAATTGATTGATATCGATGAAAAAAAAAATTCGTAGTGCCTATTTATAGCGAATCAATAAGTGATTTTATATACATATATATATAATAGACTCCCCTGTTTATTATTAATCTAATTTGAAATTAGAAAAAATCATATGTATACATATCACTTATGCAGATTTTATTTTTTTTTAAGCAACTAACAATAAATTCTAAAGATTTTATGCCTTTATAGCCAGGGTGCAATAATGTGCAACTAAATTAGATTTGTTTACACTATGCTATTGTTTGTTTGTGGCTACTTCGATTATGTACTCGATTTTGTTTTTGTTAGATTAAATAACAATCAGCTAAATTTGCATTATTGGATTCCAATTTTTCCATAGCATCTTCATTGACTTTAAGATGAAGCTTGAGTTTTTTGTATCATCAAAAAATTCAACCTCATAAAATAATTGATACTTTATATTAAATTGAATAAAGTAAATTAATTAAACAATTTTATTTGTTATGGATATTATGTTTAGATCAAAAAATTGATATACAATATGTTTTTCACCCACCACACATACTCGAAATCCTCGAGCAATTGATCAGGATAATGAAAATTTTGATTGTCTTGTCATAATTTAATTAAACAATTTGCAAAGCATTGTTCCAAAATATCCTTTGTAAATCGATTATCTTGAACTTGAATGTAAAATAGTACAAAGATTGATATTCGAGAGGTAAATATATCATCTATGAAATATGCAATGTATCTTAGATCAAAAGTTGATGGGTGCTAGTAATGTAAAAAATTCAGCGATATTGTTTCGAATAAATACCTTCAGTTACTATTGCTGAAAATTTATCTAGTCCAATTTCAGTAATCATTAAGATAATCCAACGATGTCAATATGACAAGGCTCCAGAACGATTGTTTGGGCTTGTCCACCCATCTAAAGCCAATGTTAATGAAGGTCAATATTATATTTATTACCTCATCATTTAACAAATTAATTGACGACGGCTTTTTTGTTTAGAGTTCGTAATTGTCTCAAAAACAAAGTGTTGAATGAAATACCCGACATTACAAAAGTGCAAATTAATGCTCTATTTATATTGCATTCTCTAACTTTCGTTAAAATAGTATTTCACAAAATTAAGATAAACCAATTTGTTTATTCAATTTATTCAATTTGACTGCTGTTGACTGTCTTGCTTTTGTTTCTCGATAATCAAGTCGAATGTTTTGAAATGTGATGGATGATCTTTCCCCAAAAAGATAATATAATCATTTCAGCACATGATTCTTTTGCTAAATGCTTTTTCGTAGTAAGGATTGTAATCCGATCGATCGGCAAATCAGAACAACCGATTTTCGATTTTATATTGCGAGTTAACTTTTTAGCTACACTCGTCGATTGATTGCAAGCCTTTATACTCAATGTTCTTCAATTAATTTATTTTATGAATTTATTATTTAACAAATTATCCTGCTTACTGCCTCTTTCTTGTAGCTAGAAAGATTTGCGAATCTCTATACACACTTTTGCAGTACAAATAACAACAAATAAAGACCGCTCTTTTATACGGTTCCTATTTTATTTAATTTTCGACCACAAAAGTGTTTTATTATTAAATTTTATGAAAATGTTATTACGAAACGAATTATTTGTCAAAGAAATAATTTTATGTTAACTTTCTGCCTCTACCCTTATCTGAAATGTAAATATTAACATTAGTATAGAATTACTTAATTACCCGTTTGGTTGATTGTTATTTCACCTGGTCAAAAGATGACATTATTTGTAATAGTTGATCTTTTAAGATTAATTAATTATTACTATTAGATTGATTTTAATTAAATCAAATTTCTAAAACGAAAAGGACTAGACAAATTCTCATGATTCAAGCTAAACGTTTATTTAAATCACGTAATAGACTCTCCTACGACTACTCCTACAGCTTTTTTTAGATCGAATGATCTACGCCAGATAATTCTAACGATTTTTGTTGATGTAACTTGGTTATTTTTTAAAAAATATTATGTCTCAAATTATTTCATTTATAATAAATAGTTCATGTCATTATAATTAATAAACTAGCAACTTTAATTCAATACATATTATTATTCTATTATATTATATGAAATTTTTTCAATGGTGGTGTTTGGATGCGCAGATCACATGATATTTAGTTCCTACATCCTAGTATATAGTATCGATTATAGTTTCTATGACAATTCAGAATAATGCTGATATCTCAGAAGATTCGTCTGACAATGACCCTTTTACGTCATAGGAGAAATGAATTGGCATAAAAAAAAAATTGCGAGCCATCAAAATATTATTTTTTTGCCACCCATAATTCGTATTTAAGAGATGAAGAAGGTGTTGTTAACATTATCATGCTTAAGATGGTTGGAAGCGTAAATACCTTGCTATTCATAAAGGCATGGAATAATGACCTGAGTCCAGATTCTTTATACACGGTAGGTTGTATGCAAGTTTCCGAACAAATTTTTTCCCTCAAACGTCTAACTCCCCCTTTTCATCCCAAAAATGATTAATATCATCAAAAAGCTCTTCTCACAAATACCAGGCAAGTATAGAAATCGTATCTACCTTCAATACATGGTTCATGATCCCACGCCTCTCTTCATTCATATTCTTTGATAAATTGTTCGTAAGCAAGCCCCTCAAGGTCTTTATCTAGCCAGAATGAATAACGATCACACGTTCTGCCTAAATATTACATAGTCAGAAAAAATTGTCAAATTTAGATAAGGAAAGTGACGGAAGTGATGGGACCCGTTTTTACCTAGTTAGATCTAAAGTTAAACACAATTGGATTACCATCGTCAAAGACTACATACTTATCAATCTCACCATACCGTCATTACAATTTCCTTTATCATTATCAATTAGCACTAATGTATAAAGGCAACCCCTCCTCCTCCAGTGACTCAAAATTCGGACAAAAATAATTTTCTTTTTACTATATAGATTAGGTGTAACGTGAAAATGTCGCAATATTTATTTGTAACATAAACGCCCACCATTATTTGTACAAGCACAAATACAATGACACTTAAATGGAATGGCTGATTCTGTTTTTTATTTTTCATTAGCATTAATTCTTCGTCGTTCTTTGATTTATTTAAAGGAGGAGGGAGGGCCTTGTAACAGTACAAGATTGTTTTATTGATAATTATTCCTGTGGAAATGACACCCGAAAGACTATTAACATCAGACAGAGGAGGATTAGTATATAAAATTTATGGCCAAATGATCAATAATAGTTTGGTTATTTCTGACAGAGAAAGTAGAAAAGACTATTATTTTTCATTGGTTGAAGAAAACAGAGAACTTTTAGAAAATGAAAAAGGATTTTGCAGAGAAAAGTATATTTATACTTTTGAATTAGAGAATGCTACCTATAAACTGGGAAAACAAAGAGAATGTAATAAATGTAAAGCAACAAGATATTCTGATATATTTTGCGAAAAGTGTATCGGTCTACATTTACAGAGTCTTTTCAAGACTCGGAAATCTGGAAATGAAATAATTGATGATTTTATTCATGAATGCCAACAGATTTCATCTCTTCCTGATCAAATTGTAGAATGGATACCTTATGAGCAGTTTCAAAATATAAAAAAATTAACAGAAGGTGGATTCAGTTCAATTTATACTGCTGGGTGGAAAAGAGGAACTATTAATGATTATAACGAAAATAAAAAGGAGTTTATTTATTTTGGACCTCAGAATGTAGTATTAAAATCGTTAAATAATTCGAGTAATCCGGGGAAACCTTTTTTTGACGAGGTAATCGATTATTCTTGTTTAAAATAAAACTAAATTAAACCGTTTATTGAATTTATTTATTTATACGATTAATTACAGGCATCAAATTATTGTAAAATCAAATCAAATTTGATTGTTCCTTGTTATGGTATAACTAAGCTCCAAAAAAATGGAAATTATGCAATGGTTCTTGCTTATCTTCCAGAAGGAAATTTAAGAGACTATTTACAAAAAAATCATTTAAATTTAACATTAAAAGATAGGATTATCATTTTTAAATATTTGTGTGTTGCATTAAATGCTATACATGAAAAGAATTTAATCCATTGTGATCTACACAGTGGCAATATATTAATACAGGGGGGTTGTAGCTTTATTACAGATTTAGGATTATGTGGACCAGTTGATAAAAAATCAAAATCATCAAATGAAATCTATGGAATTGTATCATATGTTGCACCAGAACTACTTAGAGGCAATAACACAAATAACACAAAAGAGTCCGATATCTATAGTGTTGGGATGTTAATGTGGGAAATATTTGCAGGTCATCCACCATTTGATGATAGAGCTCACAATCATTTCTTAATGCTAAATATATGTGAAGGTTTACGACCACCAATATTAACTGGAATGCCTGATGATTATGTGCAAATAATGCAGAGGTGTTGGGATGTGGATCCATCTAAAAGACCAACTAGTGGAGAACTTTTGAAATTTGCTAGAAATAAACGTAATGAAATTTTTGATAATAATAGTAACACTACTAGTAGTGGTAGTAGTACTAATATTAATATTGGTTGTAATACTTCGCAACAAGTATACAAATCACATCCACATGCATATCGTAAAAGTAGAATATTAAATGATGAGATATCTAAATTAAATAGCAATGATAGCTTGTTAAAC